CCCCCCCCTCTCTGTCCCCTTCCCATCTTCTCTCTGAAATCAATAAAGACATACAGGATTTTTTTTTTTTTTAAATCAACAGGAAAAAAATATCCTCAGGTGAGGATTAACAAAAGAAAAAGTAGCAGTAATTGGGAGATGAAGGGCATTTGATGATTTAGGCAAATCTGTCCAACACAGTCAAAAATAACTGGGCACACAAGGAAACAAAATTCAAAAGAATTCCCTCTCCCTTCCTCTCTCTGAAATCAATGAAGATTTATTTAGGCGGGAAAAAACAAACTGTTTATAATGCTGAAATAAATAAAAGCCAAGACAGAATTTTTTAGCAGGAAATTATAAAAACTGACATAATTTGTTTGAAAAATATCTAAATAGAAATTCTAAAACTGGCAAGTGCAATTAAGGAATCAATGGATGGATTTAATGGATTAAGGCACAGCTGAATAAAAAGCTACTAATCTGTAAGACAGATGAAAAAACTAAGCAGAATATAATAAAGACAGTAAAAAAGATTAAAAATGCAGTCAAGAGGCTAAAAGACTTAAAGGATACAAACAGAAGGTCCAATATATGTTTAATTTAAGTCCCAGGAGGTATGAAAAGAGATGAGGTAGGGGGAATATTTGAGACAGTAATATATCCACAATCACAAAAGTATATTAACCTAACTCATTAACTTATAGAACAAAGAGACAAAATAACTGGTGAGGAACTAGGAGACTTCAATAGTAACTCCAGTTACTAAGAAATTAATAACTGAATAATGTATATTCTTTTCAAATATACATACAATATTTAGCAAAACTGACCACACAACACGTCTCAACAAGTTTCAAATGACTGAAATTATATTTTATGTTCTCTGGCCACAATATCATTTATGCCAGAAATCAGTAACAATAAGAAAATGCTTAGAAATTAAGACATACGTTACTAACCCACCCAATGAATCAAAGAAAAAAAACCACAGGGCAAATTAGAAGACATTTTGAAATGAACGACAATGAAAATATATATCAAAACTTGGGAGATAGATAATAAATATCAATACTTGGTGGAAAACTACAGCCTGCCATGCATTAGGTATATGCTTTGTAAACATTCTTTAAATTGTGCATGTGCATGTTTACATTTTCTTTTGTACCAATTTTTAAAGTTCTTTTCCAAATTTAGACTAACAGCAGATTAAAAACAACAAACAAGGCCCAGCCGGGCGTAGCTCAGCAGTTGAGCGTCAACCTAGGATCCAGGCTATTGGGGTTCGATTCCTGGTCAGGGCACATGCCCGGGTTGTAGGCTCGATCTCCAGTCGGGGGCGTGGAGGAGGCAGCCGATCAATGACTTTCATTCACTGATGTTTCTCTGTCTCTCTCCCTCTTCTTTCCTCTCTATGAAATCAATAAAGATATATTAAAAAATAAAAACAACAAATATGGTATAAGGAGTGGTTGAACCTGACTCCCTTCCTCATAGACGAGCTGATCCTCCCTCTTCTTCCTGACAGGTTGCCACTATTAACGTTCTACCTGCTAAACCCAATGGACAGATTCGGGATATTATTTTTCTTGACCTCTTCACAGACCACTGTCCTGAATCATGGGTCTAAAATCGCCAAATACTCCACCTTGTTGAAAATCTCTACTTTCACAATAGGCCTCTTCCAACTCTGGCTATTCCTTCTCAGCCTCTTTCACAGACTCATCTTCCTCTGCTTTTCCCTTACATCAGTTTATCTTAAATTTTAAGCCACATTAAGACTCACTGGGGCAGTAATTCAAAAATGTAGATTCCCAGGTCCTATCCCAAGAGATCTTAATTCATTATCTGAGTATTTCTGAAGCAGCCCAAATAATTCTGATACAGGTAGAACTCAGGACACACTCTGAGAAACACTGCCTTAAATGTTGGTATCTCCCAGCAATGTGGATTTGGCTCTATTATCTTTCACTGTAAACCTGGGGTCCTTAACCTTGGGCCTCAGAAGATCTGTGAAACACCCTCCCCCCAAAACTGTACATATACCTTTGTGTATATGGCATGTATGCATTTTTCCCACACGATCTCACCCACACCCACAGACTGAACCATTCCTCACATCTCCGTTAACGTCCAGTTCTGTATCCCTGGCCCAGAATTTTCTCCAGTCCCTGACCTGCAACTGTCTACTACACACTTACCTTTGGACACTCCACAAGCACCTCCAACTCAACTTGTACAAAATTAAACATATCGTTTATGCCCAACAAACCAATGTGCTCCTACTCTGTCCAGTCCACCAACCAACCACAGTCTGTCGTCCCGAAAGTCTGAGCGTTATCTGGGATTCCTCCCTCCTGCCACTCCGCACATCCCTCACCCTCACCCAACCCCTCCCTTCCGACTACACCGCCCTGACTTAGGCCTTCACCTGTTCTCAGCTGCAGGATCTTCGAACTGATCTCCCTGCCCCCTCACTACCTCCAACCCAGCACACGGCCCCCCAGGCTGACGTGCTCCGGGCTCCTCGCCTTCGGTGTACAGAGGAAACACTGATGCACAAGGCCTGCAGTACTCCCGGCGCCGTGGGCTCGAAGCGAGCCCAAAGACTCAGTTTCCCCAACAGCGTCGCTCTTCCGCTCCACCGCCCGGCTGGCTCCCGCCCGCCCGAGGGCTATTCGCGGG